AGTGCACCCCGAGGGAGCGCACATCCCTAACGCGCCCTACTTCTAGTGGCCTCTCTGCCGGCCCAAACGTTCAGCTAGTGCTGGTGGCCGGTGGGTACTGAAGCACCATCTGGCCCTCCCGGAGCCCTCTCCCTCCTCCACTAGAAGCCTGGGGACTACTGCGCACCCACCCAACGACCCTGACTCTGGGACCTGCCGCTTGGGGGCTCTCTCGGGCAAACCTGGCCAGGGCAGGTTTAGGGACGCAAAGGCTCTCCCGGGCGCACACAAAAGAAAAAAGAAAACAAACAAACAAACAATCAAACAAACAAACAAAAACCCAAGAACAAAAATCGGGTGGCAGACAGGCTGCTTCCTTAACTCAAAACCGAGAGCCTGGCCGCCTCACCCGGATGCCCGGCCCGCCGTGCCCACGCCCCAACCTCTCCGCAGGCGAAGGGGCCCCGAGTCCCCTGCCAGTTTCCCTGCCAGCCCGGGAGGGAGCGTGGCGCAGGCAGGAAGGGACTCCAGCCCTGAACGTGACCGCGGGCGGGGAGAGAAGGCCGAGAGAGCCAGGCTGGGCGTCATCCGAGGGCGGACAGCGCCCAGGGCCTGGGTACCCGCCTCAGGTGCCGCTTGGTCTATCTCGGTGCTGGTGCCTTCTCGGGCTGAGTCACCGATTTGCCGGCCTCCAAACGGGCCCCCAGCCCTAGTTCTCAGTCTTTTCGTTGGAACAAGAATCCCTGTGAGCCCGCGACCTCCGAACCGTTGTCTCGGGAGGGCCTTCTAGGCCGCCTCGTGGGTGTGGAACAAAAGGCCCAGAGAGGGACCCTGCTACTCCGGCCCTGGGGGGCTTGTGACCGTGCCAGGCACACGTGGCCTTGGCGACGCCCGGAGTCGCGCTTTTTCCGGAGGGCTAACGCCCGGAGTCCAGCGCGCGAAACCTTGCCCGGGGTTGGGGTGCCTTGGGGGCCACTTTCTGAAATGGAGATTTATGTGAGTGGAATGCCTGCACCTTGACTGCCCCCAAACGTTGGGCAACACAGAAAACCGTGGGGTGCCGGGTTTTGCAAATACTACTCTGGTACTCGGGTCCCTCCCCCCAACCCCGGGGCCGCCTTGTAACCTGAGGGGCCCCAAAGCCCAGGGGCCTCGCGACAGGGAGGCGGCGGGAGCCTCAGCGCACACCCGCCCTGCGCCGCCGCTAGCCCGCTTGCAACGAAACGCGCCGCCGTCTAGGCGGGTGTGGGAGGCCAGGTCTCAGCTAGGGTGCAGCGGGAATAGGGGGCGCTCACGCTCACCATCTCCACCCCCACCCCTGGCGGCGATGTCCCTGAACCCAACCTGGTGCGACCTGCGCTATGGGAAGGTCCCCGGGGAGTGGCGGCTCCAAAGCCATAGTATGTCCTGGCTCAGGGTAGGGGGTGGGGCGGGGGTGGTCTGCAGCCTTCAAAGACTGGAAAAAATAAAGATTAAAAAAAAGTTTCTGGCCTTCCGTTTTGACACCGAGCACCCCGCCCCCTCGCTCCTTCCTCTGCTAGCGTTGGAAATAGCCTGCTAGCAGCTCCTCCTTACATCACCCCCTTCTTTCCCAAATGGCCTCAACCCAAAGTCAGGGAAGCTCCTAGGGGGCTGGTGAGGCTGCATTCTCCTTTCCCCAGAAGTTCTGCTAGTGGGCAATATGCTAGCACTGGACTGGGCATCGGGTGCCATCTGTGGGGGCGGGGGGGGTGTTGCTGGGGCCTTGCTCTGGAGAGCTCTAGATACAAAAGCCCCCAGACTGTCCCTGAGCAAGGGACAGGGACAGTCCGTCAGTGTGAGCTCACCTATGTACCTGTGCTGCTGCCTTCCAGAAAGTGTGATCCCCTGGGACCTCCAGCACACCTTGGAGGCAAAAGGACACATTTCAGTGAGTCCCAAATTTCCACCTACCTACAAGTTTTCCTCTTCCCCACCATGGAGCCTGTCTTATTTGTGCCTGATGAAGTGACCAGTGCAGGCCTCCCCAGCATGTCTTCAGATGGAAGGAATATGGGATTGGATAGATTGGAGTGGGTTAGAACCAAGGCTTCTCCAGCAGCTGCTCGGAGCACTGGAACCTGGGGTCAAAGTTGCCTTAACTCACCTCACCCAGATACTGCCATGCGCTCTGTCCTGTGGCAAATACTACCAGCCAGGGGGCTAGGAAGGGAGAGGGCTTCAGATGGTGGAGAGCGTAGCTGAGCTTGTAACCTTTATAGGACAGGCACTCAGCTGTCCCTGCTAAAAAGAGGTTCTAGCCCAGACCTGCTAGAGCCAGTTTCCTACAATATGGAGGGAAGGGGAGAGCTGGTGGCATAGGCACATACACCCAGACATTGGGTCATAGTGTTCCAGGTTTTCCGTGCTTGCTCTGTGATGACTTTTCACATGGCACACATGATATTATCCAGGACCACGGCTATGCTTTTGGCACGGGTGACTCTGGGGCTTGGCAGCCAGGGGTCCCAAAAAAGGCAAAACTGGAAAGAGCAGTGAGTCTGAAGTTTCAGAAAACATGCCTTAGCTGACCAGTGCAGAACCCAGCTCTGGGGGAAGTTCAATCCTGAAGTTCCAAGAGACCAGGGAGGGGTAGATTCATGGTGGAAGTTCAGGCTAAAGCTGCAAAATTCACTTGCCTTTTCAAGCTGAGGATTCTTAGACCCAGCCCCGTCCAGAATCAGCAGGGACGCAAGAAAGATCACACTAGCCTCATCTACTAGTGGGAGAAAGTGAAGTGGAACAGATCATAAGCCCAGTCTTACATCAGGAATCTACTGCCTAAGCCCACTCACGTGGTGAGTGGTCCCCACTCCCCCTCAGCCCAGCCTGACCTTGCCAAGATGTAAGATGACCATGGTTGAGAGCTGGGACCAACTTCCTATCATTAACCTTGTGGCTGAAGATTAGGTCTTGGAAAGAGTAGGCTGCCCATTCTTGGGGGTCAGCAAGATAGACTGAACATTAGTGCAGCCAGGGAGAAATACTTCGCCATGTCTTCCAGAGGCCTCTAAGACTGACTGTTCTGTGAATCCCAGGTAGCAGCACACAGGACTGGGGATAGAGTGGCCTGGATGCAGCGGGACTCCTCCCACCCAACAGACACACTAGAAGATGCTACCTGCACATCTACAGGGAGGTGTCCCTAACACTGGCTTGGAACCTACTTTCACAGCCCTGATCTCACAACACACACCCTGGAGGCCTCCAAAAGCAAGTCTTAGGGTGAGTCCAAGGGTTCCACTCTTCCATGCCTGCAACTCCCCCAGAGGACTTCTAGACTGCTAGAGCAGGGGGAACCTTCTAGAAATCTCACTAAGGAGATGAAATAAACACAGAATTTTCTCATAGACACCAAGCAAAGCAAAAACTTGAACCCAAGGTTCTGGACGCCCATCTGGTGCTCCTACCACAACCTCCAGAGAAAATTTTAAAGGATGGGGGGGGGGGGGGGATATGTGGCCTAGACACAGGTTCCACAGTTCTAAGCTGAGGGCAGAGCCCAGGCTCTGTGCTGGCCTGGGTCCTGGAACTGGAAGCAGAGTTGACTCCAGCCTCCCGACAGCCAGAGCAAAGACCAGGAAACGGAAATGGAAAGGACCAGTCCGGGAAGAAGCTAAGCCCGGGTTTTTCAAAACCGTAGAAACAGCAGCAGCACCCCTCTCCCCCGCCTTCCACCTCCAGATCTTCCACCTACTTTTCCATGCCCTCCTCCCGGAGAACCAGCACCACTGTTTTCATGCACTCCCTTTATAGAGACACACACGAAAAAACCAGGATTCCCCTTTTAAGATCCTTATTCCGGAGCTCAGAGATCTGGTTCCCAGGCTGGAGGTGCCCGGAGCCAAGTCCGAGCTCAGAGGCCAGAGGGCGGGATGGGTCTTGCACCTACTCTGTCCTCCCCAACCACCCACCCACGAAGGCCACGGGCGTCCTAGACTCTATGCCCTCGCCTCCCCGTGAGCAGACTGCTGGCGCTGCAGACAGGAGTCACTTTCCGTAGAGGCCCCAAGTTAGTGCCTGGCGTTTCCCGGGCCATGGGACCCGTGGGGTTAATTGTGAGTCCCTGCCCGGCAAAGAGCAGAGAGCGCAGAGCTGGGGCGGTACCGACCTCCGGGCAGCCGGCAGGGTTAGGAGTGAGAGGAAAGGCGGGATCCTCCAAGAAGTTGATTCTCAGGCGTCCGCCTGCGGCCGCTGCCAAATCTTCTCCACTTCTGTCTCCTACTCCCTCCCCCTTTCCCTCGAAGACCGCCCAGGTCCGGAGTTCCTAGGATGGGGGCGGGGCGCTGTCAGGAGGAAAAGCCAAATCTTTGAGAGGCGCCCAAGCACGTCCAAACTCTCCCATCCTACTGGTCCGCTCCAGGGCAGAATCTATCCCCAAAACGCAGGCCCGGGAGGAGGCTGAAGACCCGGAGTGGGGGTAGGGCACCCGGTGGGGCCTCGAGAAAGCTGCTCTAAGTTTCTTCCCCCTCGAGGTACCCTCCACCCTTCTCCCTCCTCTTCCTCCCAGCACCCCCTTAAACAGTTCCCCGCCTTCTCCTCTCCGGTCTTCCCTCCCCACCTCGATCCTCCCCTTTTCTTCTCCGTGCGTTTCCACTCCGCCTCCCCCTTCCCGTGCCCGTCCCCTCCCTTGCTATTTGGGCGTCCGCCCCGTCAATCACCACCGCCGCCGGCCCCCGCCCGGTCCTCTCCTCCTCCCAGGTTCTTCGAGCACCTCCCGCTCGCGTCTCGGGCCGCCCTCGGCTTTGCGCGGAGCCCCGCGATCTGTCAGCGGAGCCGGCCGGGGGGAGCCGCCCGACCCGCCGGGGCTCGGGTTACCAGTGACTGACAGCGTCTCCATGGCGAATAATTTGACTCCGACTATTGTCTGGCGCGGGCAGGCCCCGGGTCAGATAACCAGACCAATCAGGGCGCGGGCCGCCGCGCCTCATGCCCGCTTAGAATAATATTATTAAAAAAGCAGCGAGCGAGCTAGACGGGAGGGAGAGCGAGCGAGAAGCGAGCGAGGGAGCGGCGGGCGGGCGCGGAGCATGCGGAGCGGCGCCCCGGGCGACCCCCGGGCTTGGACGAGGGCGCAGGCGAGGCGCGAAGGCGGCGGGGGCGCGGAGGAGCGCGGCAGCTGCGGCCGGCGCCGGGACGGGCTGCAGTGATCGGAGTTCGCTGGGAGACCGCGCGGGGCTGGGGCGGGGGGGCAGCCCCGCCCGCCTCTCGGCGCGGACGGCCCGGCGGGGAGGCGCCCATGCCGGACGGCGCAGCGCGGTGAGGGCGCGCGCGGGCGGGCGGGGGCGCAGCCGGCACCATGTCCATGCTGCCCACCTTCGGCTTCACGCAGGAGCAAGTGGCGTGCGTGTGCGAGGTGCTGCAGCAGGGCGGCAACATCGAGCGGCTGGGCCGCTTCCTGTGGTCGCTGCCCGCCTGCGAGCACCTCCACAAGAATGAGAGCGTGCTCAAGGCCAAGGCGGTGGTGGCCTTCCACCGCGGCAACTTCCGCGAGCTCTACAAGATCCTGGAGAGCCACCAGTTCTCGCCGCACAACCACGCCAAGCTGCAGCAGCTGTGGCTCAAGGCGCACTACATCGAGGCGGAGAAGCTGCGCGGCCGGCCCCTGGGCGCCGTGGGCAAATACCGCGTGCGCCGCAAGTTTCCGCTGCCGCGCTCCATCTGGGACGGCGAGGAGACCAGCTACTGCTTCAAGGAAAAGAGTCGCAGCGTGCTGCGCGAGTGGTACGCGCATAACCCCTACCCCTCGCCGCGCGAGAAGCGCGAGCTGGCCGAGGCCACGGGCCTCACCACCACGCAGGTCAGCAACTGGTTCAAGAACCGGCGGCAGCGCGACCGGGCAGCGGAGGCCAAAGAAAGGTACGAGTAAGTAGAACTTCGGCGCCAGCTCCCCCCGGGGCTCCAGGGAGGGGGTCGCGGGGCGTATGCGCAGCCCCCGGGAAGAGGCCTAAACGGGATACTCGGCCCCTGCCACGGCCCAGCTGCAGCCTCGACTGACCCTGCCGGCCTTCAGGTCTTGTGGTGGGAGACCGAGAGGTCAGAAATTTGTCTAAAGCGGGCAAAGCGATCGGGGAGGTTGTCAGCTCACTCCCTGGTCGCTTGCGAAGAAAAATGGAGAGGCAGCGAACTTAGGGGCGAAAGCAAGACAGTGGCTGGATCCTGTGCAAGGGGGGACACAGCAGGGAGGGTGTGACAGTCTTCGGAAGGACAGAGGGGACTCAGGGCTGCAGATTTGGGGCTGTCTGTGCGAATTCACGGGCACTTCTGCCCACTTCCTGTTCGTTTTACTCAGCTCTAGGCCCAAGTGGGATTAGGGGTCAGGACTGGGATTAATACTTCCTTGGTGTGACCTGAATGCGGAGGGGCCTGGGCAAGAATAGCCCTTGTCTGGATATGGAAGTTGATAGGGAGACTTTATCCTTTATAGGAAGGACCAAGAGGAGCAAGACCGGGAGGAATTGTCAGCTGTAGGAGAGCAAAAGATAAACACATGCCCTTTTTCCTGACTTCTTGGACCCAGCAGTCCTTCCCTGGCCTGTCCAGCTCTTGACTCTTCTCCCCTTAGGCCCTATAGTGCGGGAGGGAGGTCGGTAGTTCTGGGGTGAACTGAGAGCCGCAGAAGGGCTGGGAGTTGCCTGTCCTCAAGGAAACCAGGACTTCCTGAACCAGCCTAACAGTTGACCATTAGGCCCTAGTGACTGCCAACCTGTGGCTCCTCTGAACCCCAAATATGAAGGAGGAAATGGGAGAAAAACCGGTTGTGGGAACAGAAATCCAGCCTGAGTGTAACAGCAAAACAAGACCCCTGGGGTTGGGGGTATAGGGCGTGGTGCAGCCCAGAGTAAATGATTAGGGTCCGGGTTGGGTGGCAGGGTGTTGCTGAACAGTGGAACCAGATCTCTGAAAGTGGAAGGGGGAGCTTCAGGCCGACCCTGGCCTCCCAGACAATGAGGTTGGGGTATGTACAGTTGGAAGTTCTCCACTGCCAGCCATGTGGGAAGTTCCCCTCCAGGAAAACAGAAAGAAAGGTCTTGGGAAGCCAATGAAGAGAAAAATGACCCAAGATTCCAAATCTGATCTGGTCGGGGCTGACAAGTCAAAGGCAGAGCAGGAGGTGGGTTCTCCTTGCTGGAGTCCCCCTCTACCCAGCCTGGCATGCATCCAGACTCCTGAAGAACTCGGGTTCTCAGGCCAGGCCCCAGGTGAGAGCGGCAGAACCCCCCAGTTTCTATATGCCGGAAAAGTCTAGGCCTGGATTAGCAATCCCCCCCACCAAGGGCTGCCCTCCAAGCCCCCAGCTTCCAGTCTTGCAGCGGAAGTTTGCACTGTGCCACCAAGAAGGGGAAGGCTACATCCTTAGGGCTTTGTCCTGTCCTTGGGCCCAGCAAGGAGAGCTCTCACAAGACCTGCCAGTTTGGACCTGGAAAGAAAGGACCCTTAGCTCCAGGAACCTGACCCCCAATCAGAGATTTCCCCTAAGTGGTGAAGGCCTTTGAGAGCTCTAACTTCACATGAACCCTCGCTCTCCCAGCCCCACCTCTACTCAACAACTCTAGCTCGGGGAGCCAAGCATCTGAAAATCCAGGCATCTTACCGTCCTCCCTGTCTCCTTCTCCCCCAACTCTACTGAGCCCTGCTCTACAGCCCCTCTCCTCTGACAAAGAAATGTTAGCAACTCAGTGAAGGGGGGGCGCGGTAGGGCAGGAACCTACAAAGAACAGGAAAGATATTCAAAAGGTTAAGAATAGGAGACGCGAAGGGATAGAGATGGCACAGAGAAAAGGACAAGAGAGAAAATCTTGTACTGAGCGAGTAAGAGAATCGGCAGAAAGTACGAGAGCCCCAGGCCAGGCGGAGAAAATGGTAGAAACCGAAAACACCCGCGGGCAGCGCCCAGCGGCTCTGGAGCGGAGGCGAGCGGCGGGGTCTGGCTCCGGGCGACGCGGGGGCGCCGAGCGGCCTCGGTTTCCCCGCTGACCCGGCCGCTTTGCTCCTGCACTTGCAGGGAGAACAGCGAGAACTCCAACTCCAACAGCCACAACCCGCTGGCTGCGTCGCTGAATGGCAGCGGCAAGTCGGTGCTAGGCAGCTCCGAGGACGAGAAGACGCCGTCGGGGACGCCAGACCACTCGTCGTCGAGCCCCGCTCTGTTGCTCAGCCCGCCGCCGCCCCCTGGGCTGCCGTCCCTGCACAGCCTGGGCCACCCTCCCGGCCCCAGCGCCGTACCCGTGCCCGTGCCCGGCGGAGGCGGCGCGGACCCGCTGCAGCACCACCACGGCCTGCAGGACTCCATCCTCAACCCCATGTCGGCCAACCTCGTGGACCTGGGCTCCTAGAGCCCCGCCTGCCTTGACGCGCTCGCCTTCCAGCTTGGCGCTGGGGACCGCAGAGACGGTGTCAGGAGGGCGCCCTGTGCCGGCGGCCCCATCAGGTACTGAAAGTCCCACTCGCTGAGCGGGCAGAACCGCCGGCAGGGGCAGGGTGGATGGCTGGCTCTTTGGTTTGGTCTTCGTCTCGGATTTGTTTTCTACAAGTTGCTTCTGAGATCGTTTGGAGGCCTGGGATCCGGGCTTGAACCCGGGAAGGGAATAAATTATACACCATTCTCATATTCTCTCTCCAGACCTTCTCATCCCTTTTTTCCTTTTCCCTTCCCTTCCCTGCTCTTTTTTCCAGTTCCTTTCCCTTCCTTCTCTCTTGTCCTCTCTCTGTCCCCTTCTTGCTTTCCCTGGCCCAGATCCCTCTATATTTCTGGCTTGTCACCCCTCAGTATGTTTTTGTTTCTCTATTTCTGTTTTTCTATCTCCTCTGGCCGGCCCCTTGCTCTCCTGGCCCCAAGATCTGTACCCCTGAGCCTTTCTCCTCCTTCCGGGAAGTCTATTTGCATCCTCCTTCCTCGCTTTCCCGGGTGGACGTGGCAGGGGAAGAGCAGAGGAACCAGGCCTTCTCCAGAGGCCCTCCCAAGGTTCAGTGGGGCTGCAGGTGTCCACTCTGCTCCTAATAACTTAAGCAAAAGAGAAAGGAACGGGGTGCCGGGGCGTCTGAGCGGCGCCCCTGCCGCTTGCCCCTCTGTTTCTCTCCGTGAGGCCCGCCGCGCTCTCTCCTCTTCCTCCCGGGGCTGGGGCCACAGTGCTCCGGCAGAGTGTGCCTCCAGAGCTGCGGACTTGCCGTCTCCCTGTTACGCCCTCATGTGAATGTTCTTCGGGAAATATTTCTGCTCTTATTTTATAATAAAATTAGAAATCATAAATATATATATGGATATATACCACAAGGCCTGTGATCCGGGAGTGCAGCAGTGTCTGATTTCCCTACAGGGACTCGACACCCCGGTGGACCGTTCTGGGCAGCGATGGCCCAGGAGCCCCAGAAACCAGGAGCCGCCTTCCCCCATACAGGGCGCATAACAGCCCTTAAGATGAAGGGACCCAAAACTCTGAAACCTCCTCCCACCCCCCACAAAGCCCTGCCTCCTGCTTTCTTGTCAGGAAAGCTCCCTGCAAAAGCATGAAGGGGGTGGGTGGTCTTCTCCTCTTGGGGACTCTTCTCACCAGAGCAGGGCCCTCGCTCTCCTCTTTCTTCATTTCGGGAGGAGAGTAAGAAAAGAGAAGCTGTGTGCTGAACAAGGAAGGGATGCATGTTTGGAGATGCCAAAGTTGGAGAACAAATCGGGCCATGTAGGCTTCCTTAGCGGTGGCAGCAGTCCCCAGAACCTGGTGGCACACCCTGGGCAGGTTCGCAGGCCCCAAGAAGTGCCGCGGAGCCCTCACAAAAGCCCGGGTGGTGCGTGTGGACGTAGAGGAAAGGTCTCCAGGCTCTGAAATCGGTCGTTTTGGGACGGTGATGAAAGGAGGGGGGAAGAAGGGAAGCCTGAGGAGACTGGGGAGGTCGGGCGGGTGGGCGCATGTTTTTAATAGGAGCAGGGGGGCACCAGGGCTTGGCCCGTAAGGCAGTGGGGGGGGGGCGCCTCCGCACACTGTGCTCAGTAGGTCCCTAGTATGGGTACATTAACCTGTAGCAGCCTCTCCCTTCTGGGGCCCCGGTCCACCTCTCCCCCTCCGCATTAAGCGGCGCGCTGAAGCCTATCCTGCCAGATTCCAAGCTGTGCAGGACTCCTTGAGGAGGAAGTTGTGGCTTTTGCGTCTCGGGTCACGACGGGCTGTAGGCACGGAACACGTTCCTCCTCCGCGCCTAGGACGTTTAGGCGCAGGCATGCCACCTGGAATCCACGGGAAACAGGGAATGAAGCGCTCTTCCAACAGCGAGATCCTAGAGTGCTGGGACCTCTTTGGAGACTTCCCTCCCTGATGAAATCAGCGTTCGCGGAAGACCCTTTGCGCGTCCTTTCTGAGTACTGCGGCGTCGTTCTGGCCGAGATGCGGGCAGCCGCGGACAGCTGGGCGGGCTCACTCGGCTGGGGAGCTATGCCTCCGCCTTTACTTTGTGCAGGCCTGAAGGTCAAGGGAATCGCCAGCACGCTCAGACTGCTCCGCATGGGCCCCACCGGGCACCACGAGAGGAACTCCGGCGGCCCTGGCAGCGCACTCCGCGTCTTCTGGCGGCTGTGCTCTCTCAGGCATAACTTGGGTTCCCCCGGGGCAGGTCTATGCTTACAGGGCCCCAGCTGTCTGACCTTCACTGAGCGGCAGAGTGAAGAACCATCTATTGCTGGAGGGTCCGCAGAAGCTCAAGCGACCAGAAACATCACCTTGAGTCCCCAGAGCTGAGCTACCAGTCCCAGGCTTAGACCCTGGGACCTGCCCTTACCTTACCTGCCTCCTATTTTCTACACTCCCACTCCCAGGGAAACAGGCTCTGTGCGAACTTTCACAAGGACACCACCATACACAATCATCATTCGAGTCACTGAGACCAAAAAGCTGTTATGTGCCAGGCCCTGTTGGCACCTGATGGCACCAGAAACACACACCCTTTCACATAGTGACCACACAGGGAAACACACTGTCACACATATGTTCACACACACAGAAAAACAAATATGCAGACTCTCAACCCATTCTCAGAGACACAAACACGTCTTCAGGAAAAACCTAAACACACTTTTGTTCCAATATATATGAGATACATACCCGAATGAGCCTCTCCACATGTAAACTCACACACACACACACACACACACACACACACACACACACACACACACATCATGCTTCTCCCCAGTAGCATGCAGACCCACACTCACACCCGTGCCCCTGCCAGCAGCCAGTCCTAGTCCATCCATCTGCTGGGCTAGAGCATGGTCTTGCGGTGAAGCTGGAGTTGGAGGTCTCAGCGGCTGTCCCCCAGAGAAAGAGATGGTTCTAGCCAGAGAAGGCCGAGTGTCAGAGATCCCACCTGTGGCACCTTCTTTCCAGGGGCCCGATGGGGATCAAGGGAGGTTACCAGGAGCTCTCACTGGCCGGTAGGGGGCAGGGTACCTGCCCAGGAGCTTTATTCGGGCACAGTCTGGCTACTTGTTGCAACTTCCCTCTTTCCCTCCCCCTTGGAAAGCTAACCCCGAAAATATTTACTTAAACGGGAAACTATGCAGAAGCTCTGAAAATAAACGCAAGCAGCTACTCACCCACTGCAGAAACCATACCAAGCCAGTCCTCCATTCCACACTCCACTAGACCCAGAGAGAGGCTACGGGCCCGACCAGAGCGTGCCAACTGGACATAACTTTTGCACAGATGCTGTCAGATGAATACAACTGCTCCCCCCTAGGCATCCACCAAATACAGTTCCTAATGGCCCCTTCCCCAGTGGCAGCTGGAAGCCAAGAGTTTTGCTCTGGGGACCATAAAGGATAGCCCTGGAAGCACGAGTCTCCCTCCCATTCTGCTCCCCTGACCTTGTCTACCTTTCATTTGTTCCCACCAAGGTTCCATATGCATGCAACTCTCAAAGGTGAAAATGAATGAAGAAGGTAGCATCCAGCCTTCCTGCGCAGCTGGCTGACTCACCCGCTTGGGGGCATAAAAGTCAAGGGTGGCTGAGGGCAGAGGGGTGCCAGAGGGCTTGCTGTGCCTCCTGGGCAGTCTTCCTCTCTCACCTCACGCTTAGCAGCAGTCCTGGCTGGGACATGGTCCCAGTCCAGACCCTGTTGTTCCCACCACTAAAAGTGCATCTCAAGGAAGTGGTGGGTCTACCTGGGGACAAGGTGGCGATGACGTGCCAGGAAAGCAAAAGTTAAACAGAGCCAGGGAGATCTGAAGAGAATCACAGGGCTGGATTTTCCCCAGTCCCTGTAGGAAACACCATTTCGGTGTCTGGGAAAGCAGAGATCAGACGAGTGGGGGCTCAGGAGTCAGGACCCAGGGACCTCTTGCTGGGATACTGCTGAGGTTCTGGAGGACATGTGAATGTTTTTGTGTTGAGGGGCAGGTGGAGGAGGTTTGGGCTCATGACTGAGGCCCCTCCTTTTTTCATATTGCCCATCCCAGTGGTTCAGGAGCATCCGTACCCTCTGGGTGCAAAGCTGTCTAGGGCATCTAGAAATGGCGGAGACCCAGTGTGTGAGGGTGTACTGGGAAATATAAGAAGGCCTGAGACAGTGTGTAGGTGCAATAGGGTGAAAAAAATTCTCTGGTGTTCGTTGATGGGGCAGACGTGTGCCCCAGGAGTCTGGCTGTTTCTGAGTACATAGATGGGTGGGTGAGGCAGTGCGCCCCAGAACTCTCCCGGGAGCTGACAGTCAGGCTTCGCCTGTGCGCTCCCGCTAGTAAAGGGAAGGCTCCTGGGGTTGGAGGAGGACCAGCCTCTCCTCTCACCCCAGCAGAAGCCAACCAGGCACAAGTTCATCCTGATTCCTGAAGTCAATGTGGGCTAGGTGGTGGGTGGTCCAGGAGGGACGGTTCCCTCCGTCACTGCTGCCAGGAGCCACACAGTGAAGCTGAGCCTGGGCCCCAAATATCTTGAGTCCTGGTGTCGGGGTCAAGGCGTCCATCCCCACCTTGCAGGAGTCTCTTCTTGAAACTCTATGGGTGTCTGTGCAACTGGAACTCAGAAATGGCTTCTGGGTGGCAGGGATGAATCGCAGGGGAGAGGATCAATTTGGGTGTCTGGAAGGGATGAGTTTTACAGTTCTCCCACAATCCCAGCTGCGCGGCTTCTCCCCTTCCAGGTAGATTCTGCTTCTGGCAACGCCAGCCACAGAGGGAGGCGAAGTAACACCCGTGGATGTCCCTGAAGAAAGCCCACTCCCGAGGCCCGACAGGTGCCCCTAATTGCCCCCAAGGTCTCCCGTGCTTGGAAGACCCACAAACGCAACAGGCTTGCACAGGGAGGACACGTAGAGAGAGCCCTTCTTTAGGATGTTAGTGGCCCAGGCTTC